TGATCAAGAATGAGTCTCGCCCACACATAACCTTATTCTCTACCGTCTTCTTCGACTCCACGAGGCTCGAATCCGTCATTCGAAACTTCGTATCGAAGCAGGAACCATTCTCGATCTCGTTCTCCACAATCGGGATCTTCTCGAGCGACAACAACGTACTCTCCTTCTCGCTCTGCAGCTACAACCTCTGTTATGCGACACGATGAAGAAATAAGGCGTTGAGATTTCTGAAGATTATCGCGCCGATTCGTGGGTTCCGTTCTGTTCCGTTGCTCTTGAAGCCCCCAAATCGCGTATGGCTGAAGCTTTATCGGTGTTGAGAGACTTGAAGCTTCCGGTGAATGGATACGGCATGGAGATTGGTCCGGTTCGTGAAGTCGTCTCATTTGCTCTTGGTAACAACACTTTGGAGTCTTGATCATTGAAAAGTTTCAATCTTTTGTGTTGGGTTTGATGATTTTAGCTTATTGTTTCATTTAATCTCCCTCCCCCTAGAGTATTAATGTTTACTGTTGAACACTATGTTTCCAAGAAATAGTTGAAAGTTTGCTATTCATCAATCTCACTTTTCCCAAGCTCTCTTGTTATATTCTCAGCTGTGTAATCTGTGTGGGCAAAGCTTCCATGAGAGGGAAAATATCTTAAATGTCAAGCTTTTCTCGATATCTATTTCGATCGGAACGATGTTAACTGATAGAACACAGTAGAAGCAGTGTGTAGTAGTCATTATTGGCGAAGAAGAACTTAGCTTCTTAACTTTGTCTCAATTCTCCGTAACTTTTAGTCTCTGGACAAAAGTCTGTTTTATGGTATGATCTGTTGAACTTTTGGGTTTATGCGCTTTGATATATGGTTATTTATCAATCTCACCTTTCTCAGTCCATGTGAGTGAAAATTTCTTCAGTTTCAAAGCTTTTCTAGATTTGTGCTTGGAGCAACGTAGAGTTAAAAATTATATTTCAATGATGTTATGATTGATAGAAGCGATGTGTTGCAGTCATGGCTGGTGAAGCTTTCTGTCTTAATTCTCTGTTAATTTTTAGCCTCTGGAAAAATTGTGTTCAAGATAGTCTTAAGGATCACAATGATCTGTTTAACTTTTTGGTTTTGTCAGTTTGTTTCTATAACATCCACATGAGTTATGCAGTTTGACAGATTTCTTTGAGATTCCTGTAAATGTTTGTATGATCTCATTGTAAGCCTGCAATGAGGACTAAATCAAAGGCCTTATGAACAAGAAGTAAGAAAGGTTCTACTTTAGAAGTTCTTATCAAGATTACATGAGTTGCACCATGGTCTAAGGAGCAATATGGAGTTACAGTACATTCATCAGCTAAGTAGTAATAAGTTGAGATAAACCTAAGTAGTAATTGCACCGTAGTAAATTCATCACTTGCTATTTTGACAAATCGAACGTAAAGAGGGAAGATAACTCAGAGCTCCCGTGTGATTTTGATCTTCTAGCGTCCACGTGAGACAAATGGCTCCGAAAACGACAAGGTAGCGTTTGAATCAGGCTCCGAGAGAGGATCGAGAGAGGCGTCAGTGACTTCAAATCTGTCTCGAGCTTTCACAATGTCAAACACGTCAGGCGGTAGTTGAGCCACATTGTCCAAGAACTCAATGACGCGGGACATGCTCGGTCTGGTGGCTGCAACCGGATGCGAACAAAGCAAGCCAAGCTTCAGAACCATGGCTACTTGCTCCTCGAGGTACTCATCATCATGCTTGAGCCTCTCATCGATCACTTGCAATACATCTCCACTGTTCTCCCAACAGTCAAGTGCCCAATCAGTAAGAACCACCTCGGTTGGCGAAGATGCTCGATGCAAGATGGGTCTTCGCCCGCAAGTCATCTCTAACATGAGTACTCCAAACGCGTAAAACATCTGATCTTGTGCTTCCCTGTCCTGTCGCTGCGAGTTCTGGTGAGATGTATCCAAACGTACCGCCCACATTGGAGACTTGAGGATCAATACCGTGATCACACAGTTTCGCTAGACCAAAATCACCGAGCTTTCCATTCATAGAATCATCAAGAAGGATGTTGGCTGGCTTAATGTCCCTATGAATAATGACCTGAACCCATTGTTGGTGTAAATAGCAGAGCCCAGAAGCTACATCTTTGATAATCTTGAATCTCTGTGACCAGTCAAGACTTTGTTCCGGTTGGTGATAGAGAAACCTATCAAGACTGCCTTTTGGCATATAGTCGTACACCAAATAGAGTTCGCCTTTGCGTCTGCAGTAACCTAGAAGCCGAACTAAATTAGGATGTCTTAGACGCCCAATTGTCGCGATCTCAGCAACAAACTCTCTCATTCCTTGTTTTGAATCATGAGAAACTTTCTTCACCGCAATGTCTATGTTTGACGTCAATGTACCCTTGTAGACTTCTCCAAACCCTCCCTTACCGAGAAGCTCGCTGGTCTTGAAACCTTTTGTGGCAGTGTAGAGATCCTTGTAAGCAAATCTATGTGGGCCAAACTGAATCTCCCATTCCTCAAGAACTTCTATGAACTTTTTCCTTTTCAAAAAAAGTGTAAAACCTATGGTCAGTGTGAGTACAACAAAGCCGGTTAAACTCAAACCGACAGCCAACTTCTTTTTCAGACTGCCCCGGGATTCACCATGAAGTTTTGGAAGACGAGATAAATCAATATCTGAAGTTTCTCCATTGAGCTTAAAAGTCCAGCCCAGAATATAGTGGGATGAATAACGAGAGCCTGTAGATGAAATGAAGCCAACGTACATTGACTCCAGGAGATACGGTGATAGATCTTTGGTTAGAGAAACCAGTGGAATCTTTGGCTTAGAGACATGAATCGGATGCAGCGTCACATCAAGCTGTTTCCTTGAGGAATCATATTCAATCCAAGCTTGAATCGGTTCTCCACTCACAAGAGAGATGTCTTTGAAAGTACCATCATGGTTTGCATAATAACCCGCTGAAGAAGCATTCTCCGATTCCAACCCATTAATGTCGATGCCAACATGGTTATCATTCATGTCACCAAACTCACTGCTCTTGAGTGTATCAAGCTCAACTGCTACAATGTGATTTGAGAAATCTCCATTGTTTGTGATATTAAAGAGCCCTAGATACTGTGAAAGCAGACTATAGGGCAAGCCTTTGGTAGGAGATATTGCAAATGCAATTCCATGGCCACTACGTCCCGGAGTCTGAGAGACTATGGCGAAAACAAACGTGGTGGAGAAGGAAGAAACCGTACCGTTTGGTGAGTTCTTGAATCGAATTGGGAAGTTGTAGAAAACGTGTCCAGATTTTTGTACTGTCGAATTTGTCAACTTCATCAAGCCGTTGGAATCAATGTTGGCGATTCCAGAGCTATCGTACAAGAAGCCATTAAAACCAAACTCTCCTTTTTCACTCTGAGAAACTGCTTTGTTCGAGAAGAATAGCAGGAGGAGAAGCAACAGTAGAAAGATGTTCATCGTTTGCAATTAGTTTCTCTGACTGATGAATGAATATTCAGGAACTAGTTTCTCTGACTGATGAATAATTAATAGTAGAGGCTTTGTTAACGCGTCCAAAACCTTAGGACTTTGACATCTCAACATTATGGTCCCGCAGCTCGTGGTATGTTTTTTTAGCCTTCCGTTTGTAAATTAAAGAACCATACGGAATGTTTGTGGAAAGAAGTCAAAGTCATCTACTGATCCGAATAAGTATGGTCCGTCTTATTTTCTCTTACAAATATGTTTAGCAGAAAATGGTAAAAGCTATTAAAACAATTGAAAAATAGTCAGAAAAAGGAAACTGTGATGACAGCTTAGACCCGGTTGTGAAACTTTTTTGTCTATTCACATGGGAATATCAAAGACTCGGTAAAAAAGCCCAAACTCGTTATATTTGGTTAATGGGCCTTACACCAGGCCCGTTTTCAATATATTCAGACACGACGGGACGACTGATCGCCGTCCTAGCCATTACCTCACTCTCCGATCATAAACCCTAGCCGCGTCAATGTTCAATTTCAATTTCGCAGAGAGGATAAAGATTCAGAGGAAAAGCTCATTTCTTTTCTTCATCGGACGCAACACATAAAAGACGAGATGCTTCATCGGCGGAAAACGCCGGCGTCGGAGTTAAAGAAGGTTCGGTTACACAGCTCAACGAATCGGCGTCACCTCAATCCCCCGAGCCTGCATCAGCTTCCGAAACCAACCCTTCTCGGTCGCGACGCAAAAAGCGCATAGTGAACGACCAATCCGAAACCACAGAACGCCGCGGCGAAATCAGCCAGAGATTGCGTCTCCCTCGTCACTCTGATCAGGAGAACGGCGATTGCAGCAATGGGATTATCGTTTCAACAGCAACGGAATCGATTCCTGCTGCTCGTGAAACGCTCCCATGGCAAAGGAAACGAGAGTATAGCTCCGGCAGGTGGCCGCAGTTAAGAGTTTTGACAGATGCACATTCCGTTGAGCCTCATACTCAAGTTAAGCTCAAGAAACGTGGCCCTGACACAAAGTATCTAGCAACGGTCTTGGCCATTAATGGAACTGAATGCGTTATTGGTAATGAATCTAGCTCCTAGTCTCTGTCATTAGTTTAAATTAAAATAATCTTCATAAACTTGTAAACACTATTATCATTTTAAATTATTCGAATTATTTTAGCTGATATTTTGCCCAAAAGTTTCTAGAGGGTTCTATGAAATCAAATATCTGGTATATGATGGACTGGAATTTCCATTTGTCAGTTGGATTGGTTAAAACTTAAAAGCAAAAGTAACAGATATAAACCCTAAACAAACTAGGATTTTGTTTTTCTAATTTTTCCTTATTTTTTTTCCTTTTCCTCATTGTTTTGGAAGAAAAAGGAAGATGATATATTTCCATTTTTCCCAATTCACCGAACGCTCTTCAACTCTATAAATAGAGAGACGCTTACGTTCATCGTCTCTCATCATAATCTCTTCAAATAATTTTATAACCTAAAATCATCTCCGAGAAAAAAACCTAGAAGCAAAACAATGGCTGCATCGAACAAGATTGTGTTGACCAGCTCCGATGGCGAGTCTTTCGAGGTCGACGAAACGGTGGCGCGTCAGTTCCAGATCGTAGCACACATGATCGAAGACGACTGTGTCAGCAAAGCAATCCCTCTTACGAACGTCACGGCGGATGTCCTCGGCAAAGCTATCGAGTACTGCAAGAAGCACGTCGAAGCTGGTTCCGTTAAAGAAGACGAGGACGAAGCTGGTTCCGTTAAAGAAGACGTGGTCGAAGCTGGTTCCGTTAAAGAAGGCGAGGTCGAAGCTGCTTCCTCTAAAGAAGACGAGGCCAACGAGGAGCTCAAGACTTGGGACGCAGAGTTTATAGAACTCGACTCGGCAACACTCTTCAAACTCGTTCTCGCTGCAAACTATCTCAACATCAGAGGCCTTCTCGATCTCGGTTGTCAGAAGATTGCGGATCTCATCCAAGACAAGAAACCAGAGGAAGTTCGCCAGTTTTTCAACATCGAGAACGATTACACACCCGAAGAAGAAGCTGAGGTTCGCAACGCGAACGCATGGGCTTTTGAATGATTTCAATACAATAAAAAAGAACACCAAACTTTTTTAATTTTTTGATAATGGTGTTGTTAGATCTTTGGTTTTGACTATTTTCTTTCCGATTTAGTGAATGACTTTTATTTTTTGGTCGTCTCAAGTGTGTGATTTGTACGTACTCATTCGTCTCTTCAATTAGGGAGTGACACAGGAAGAGATGATCAGATTTTATACAATAACTTAATTTACACCAAATATCATATTAGGTCTTAGATTCTTACCAGGTATGTCATAGAATTACCGTCGTCTTACTTATATTCCTGCAAATCGGTTCTACTTCTATCATGTTGTTTTACTTGATTCAAGCGTTAGAGAATCTTTCCTTTCCTTTTCCTTTCAGAAATGTCGTGGCCATGTTTATGTTGCATAAGCGACCCAATAGTTTAAAATTCATAGTATAAAAAAGATCCAAAAAGAGCACAACTTGGGATCTTAGCATAACATGTTCCCTACTGAATTGAATTGTCACTCTATGCTCGTTTGTTATTCAAAACACACAAAAATCACTTTAGAAAACAAATCCACCATTTAAAAATCCGAAATCTTACTTGATATACAAATTTACATATATTTAATGTAGAATAATAAAGTTATTTGTATCTATTTACAAGTTGATATGAAATTTTATAAGATAATTTTCACTTTTGTTTATTTACATCTTATATCTAAAATAATATTTATAAAACTAATTTAAAGATTTTTCTTATTTTTATCTAGTATATACAAATACATGTATTCAATTGTTGTGTTTATCTTTAGAATAAAATACTATTATTCCTATAAACAAACACAATAACAGATTAAAGTTTTTATCATCAACGATTTTATAATTATTTTGGGCAATATTTTCAAAAAGCTTCTAGAGGTTTCTATGAAACAGGGATATCTCGAAATTCCATTTGTCACTCCAATAGTTAAAATCCGATAATCCCATAAACTAAATTTCTCCAATGACAACTGGAATTTGGAGAATTAAGGGATTAACCATTCCAATGACAACTGGAATTTTGAAAAATTCCTTTTATTTAATCTCCAAAAATATAATTTTCCAAACTAGGATATTTTATTATTTTCAATATTTAATTTTGGCCTTTTCCTTATTGTTTCGGGGGAAAAAGAAGAAAAAATCCCATATTTCCCCCAACCGACCCTCTATACAGATCATAATTATAAATAGAGAGACGCATATTTTCACCAATATTCCTCAAAAGCTCTTCGACAAAAAAAAACCTAAAAGGCTAAAACCTTCTCCGCTCTTAACCCCCAAATCAAACGAACAATGTCTGAATCCACCAAGATTGTGTTGACCAGCCAAGGTGGCGAAGCTTTCGAGGTCGACGAAGCGGTGGCTCGTGAGTTCCAGATCGTAGCACACATGATCGACGACGGCTGCGCCGGAAAAGCAATCCCTCTTGAGAACGTAACCGGCGATGTCCTCGCCAAAGTTATCGAGTACTGCAAGAAGCACGTCGAAGCTGGTTCCGTTAAAAAAGACGAGATCGAAGCTGGTTCATCTAAAGAAGGCCAGGTCGAAGCTGGTTCATCTGGAGAAGACGAGCCCGAGAGTGAGCTCAAGGCTTGGGACGAAGAGTTTTTGAAACTCGACATGGATACACTCTTCAAAATCCTTCTCGCTGCAAACTATCTCAACATCAAAAGCCTTCTCGATGTCGTTTGTCAGAAGATTGCAGATCTCATCAAACACAAGCAACCAGAGGAAATTCGCGAGATTTTCAACATCCAGAACGATTTCACTCCCGAAGAAGAAGATGCTGTTCGCAAGGAGAACGCATGGGCTTTTGAATGATCCAAAAACAAACAATAAAACTCAAATTTATTAATATTCTGATTTTGGTGTTATTAGGTCCTGATTTGTCTCTCTTTCTTTTCGGATTTCGTGATTTATTTTAATTTTTTTTTGGTTTTCTCAAGTGCGTGTGATTGACTTATTCTTCTGTTTAGCTTAATGGTTTCTTGTTCCTTCTAATTTCATGGTTTATATGTTGTTGCTCATCATTCTTTACGTCGACAAAGAAAAAAACACTCCGGAGAATGGAAATTTTTATAGCGGCCAAAAACCTTATGTATTCGTCGCCGCCACGTTTTTGTTGAACACTACAAAGTTATTATGATATCGTATCTAGCTAGGGTTTCAAACAAAAATATTGTATTTATCTAGGGTTTCTTTGATTCTTTAACCTTAATTTTTTCAAAAATGAGTTTCGAGAATATCCCTATTCATAGGTCTAAGATCCACATCTATGAATTGAAAAGTCCGAACGATCAACTCTGCAATCAGTTGTTAGAATCAATAGGTCTTCAAATCGTTCATTTGAAAAAATTGAAACCCTTTTTATGAGGTGATCATAATACTTCTCAAAAATCAAAATTCTTGATCAATGGAGGAACAATATCACCATTTTTATTCAATAAGATACTAAAGTGGATTATTGACTCATTGCATACTAGAAAGAATCGCAGGAAATCTTTTGATAACACGGATTCCTATTTCTCAATCGTATCCCACGATCAAGACAATTGGCTGAATCCCGTTAAACAATTTCAGAGAAGTTCATTGAACAATGCACCAATTCTTTGTTGAATCCTGTACCTTACCAATCGTCGAGATCCAGTCAGGAGATGTTTCAGCTTATATTCCTACTAATGTAATTTCCATTACAAATGGAAAAATATTCTTATTCGCCGATCTTTTTAATGCTGGAATCAGACCTGCTATTAATGTAGGGATTTCTGTCTCGAGAGTAGGATCCGCCACTCAAATTAAAGCTATGAAACAGGTAGCTGGAAAATTAAAATTGGAATTAGCTCAATTCTCTGAATTAGAAGCCTTTGCCCAATTTTCTTCTGATCTCGATAAAGCTACTCAGAATCAATTGGCACGAGGTCAATGATTGCGTGAGTTACTGAAACAATCCCAATCAGCCCCTCTCACAATCGAAGAACAGGTAATGACCATTTATACCGGAACAAATGGTTATCTGGATGGATTAGAAATTGGACAAGTAAGAAAATTTCTCGTTCAGTTACGCACTTATTTAAAAACGAATAAACATCAGTTCCAAGAAATAATATCCTCTACCAAGACATTAATCGCTGAAGCAGAAAGCTTTTTGAAAGAAGGTATTCAAGAGCGACTGGAACATTTTATACTTCAGGAGAAAGTATAAAAAAAAAAAATGCATCATTCTTAGTTTTGATTTTTTTTTTGTTTTGATTCTTTAAGTTAATTTTATTCTTTAATTCAATTTAAAAGAAATTCTATAAATAGAAAAATATAAGTATATTAAGTTAAATATATATATATATATAATATAAAGAAGTATACAACTAATATCTGTTTAATATTAAATCTTAAAGCATTCAGAATTTTTTTCTTATTCTATTTCTTTCTTATTTTTTATAAATATAAAGAAATATATTCTATATAATATTCTATATAATATATAAAAATGATAATATATAAAAATAAAAATAATAGATAAATATCAATATAGATATATTTATATTGATATTGCATCCAATAGGATTTGAACCTAAACCAAAGGTTTAGAATATCTATGTCCTATCCATCGAGTCTTTTTTTTCGAATTTACGAATTAATCGGATATTTTTTCTTTTGAATGTCTGCCAACTTTTTTTTAATGACTCCATTATTTTAGAATCATAACGCGATTTGTTACAACTAGTAATTCTAGTAGTTCGGTTTTCTTTTTCTTTTGAAATTTCTTCTGTTTGATTTCTAATTATTTTTATTCTATCAATCAAATTTTTTTTTTTTCGCTGAGTGAAGAATTTGTCCACTCCATGTATTTTTTTTAACAGATAGTTCATGAATCATCTGATTACTCATTATTGAATATTTTTAGTTTCATTTAATTCAGATATTTCTCTAAGGCCAAATAATGGAATTAGATTTTGTTTTGAAAGGTTTTTTATTTTTCCTTTTAGAAAAAAACACTTTTTTGATAATCCAGTTTTTAATTCGTTTTGAGACTTTTAAAAAAATTGTCGCTCTTTCTTTGAAAATAAAAACCAGAAAAGACTTAGGTTTTAATTTTTTGATTTTTTTTTAATTATTTAAAAATAGGTTCAAAAAAAGAAGGCTTTTTTTTTTGTAGAACCAAACGGTATTTCAGTTTCCAGTCCCCAAACTGTTAAAAAACAAAAATCATCTTTTTTTTCTCTTTTTTCTTTTGTTTTTTTTTAGTTTAGCCTTCTTAGATGATTGAAATTTAGATTTATGCCAATGTTTTTGATAAAAAGGAAATAATATTTTTATCTGAATACCATCCGTTAACCAGTTTCTTGTAAATTCTGTTTCGGATAGTTGAACCCCATTATAAGTACATTTAACATGCATTTCACGTTTCTAATCCCTTAAATCCTCAGCCCACTCGGAAAATTAAAATAATAACATACATAGGATACTTTTAATTATTATCAATAAAGGTAATTTAATATTTTCTAAGAATAGATTGAGTTACTAAGAGAGAACATCTTATTATTTGAGCAAATAGGAAGCTATCCCAAGTTTCTACAATTTCTATCCGTCTGTTTTCTTCTATTTTTTTATTGTTCTTCTTCGTTTTTATCAAAATTTTTGTTTTTCGGATGAAAATTCTAGGAATTTTTTTGTTTAGCTCCCATATATCAAACGAAAAAAAAAAAGTTTATCTATTCTATCAAAAAAAGGGGGGGAATGTACTTTTGTTTGAAAAAATTCCCAAATAACAGTTTTACGTCTTTGGGAACGCATGGATCCTTTTGAGAATATTAATTAATCAATACTATTGATAACTTGTACAATTCACATTCTTTGGCTCTACTCCCATTAATATTCCAGTAATAGGTCTTTCACAATGAGATCCACTTTAAAGGTAAATTAACTATCTTGTTGTTTGAAGATCATATTCTCGAAAAATATTGTAATTACTTGTTTTTTTATTGTTTTAGAGTCTTTGCCTAGAGTGTTAATTTACCTTTTTAGTGTTAATAGAAAAATAAGATATATTTTCAAAACTCTTTTTTATTAATAATTATCTTAAAATTTAGAAACTTTTCTAATAACAACAAAAACAAAATTAATTAAGATTTAGAAATTTTCCTCATAACAACTAAAACGAATTAATTAATTTTAATATATAATATATAATTAACTAAAAATAATGATGATGTGTACCCATAGAATTGAATCTTTAAATCCTATATGGACACTCTTAGAAGCATTTAGCATCAACTTTTATTATTAATAGAATTATCTAAAAATTAAAAAAAAAATTAGCATGAGAAAAAGAAGCCCATCAGATTTTTTAGTTTTTAGAAAAGCCCAGCCCTAATTAGCCCAAAAAGCCTAATGACAAAGAAAATAAACTACGTTATGCGTTTCTTTATTGAAAATTTGAATATGAGATTTATTCTTACTAGCTATTTACCAGCGCTATGCTGCGGGATATTTTATAAATTTTGTATATATTTTTAATATAATAAAATTATTTTTATAATGTAAATGAATATTATATTTTTTTCATTAGCTTAAGTTATGTATTTATATGTTTTAAATCTATATAAACATTATATATTTTTTTATTTATTTATTTTTCAAAATTATAATTTGCTATTAAATTTAGTTAGCTAACTAATTATAAATGTATATTAGGAATAAAATATATAAAAATAAAGCAATACATTTTTAGTACCTTCATGCTAATGGCAAATGTAATCTATTTTCTCCAATCAATTGCCACATGATTCTTCTTTGTAATTATATAAAGCAAAATGTCATTTTAAAAAAAGATTTATTAATTAATATGATTATTTTAAATTATAAAATTTATTTATTTATAAAATATTTATTATAAATATATGTTTCTACAACTACCAAATTATAATCAATAACATTCATATCAAAACCATTGATATTGCTGTAGAATTAAATAGAAAATTATGTTTGAACTCTTAAAGTATAGTTTTAGTTAAAGTTAAATAATTAAATTTTGGTTACTGTAAACATACTTTAACTTGGAAATTTAGCACAAAAAAATTCATCTTCTTACAAAAATCGAGAAATCGCATTTCCCGTCAAAAAAAAAAACATCAGTTTCCCATTAAACTGAGAAATCGGTTATTCCCGCCAAAACCAAAATATTTCCGCGAAAACAAAAATTGCTCGTCAAGCCCAGAATCACGTTTTCCTACAAAAATAAATAAACTACAATTTCCCGCGAAAATCGAAAATTGTTTTATCTCCCGTGAAATTGTGTTTTCCCGCGAAAACTAAGAAATTGTTATGTTTTTATCGGTTCAAATTTTTGCTGATGTGTGAGCTTCTTATAACATAAGGCTTTTTGTGTTGTTGTCATGGAAGGATAGTTGATGTTGAGCCTACACTTTTTCAATTATATACGTCTATGTCAAACAAACTGATAGCTAGAATTTTTTTATTATTTATTTGTTATTATTTATTATTTAGATTTGGTTTTGGCAAAAAAAAAAGAAAACAATGATTTAACTTTTTATTTGTTTTTATTTATTATTTGGTTTTAGATTTGGCAAAAAAATAAAATTGTTAATTATTTGGGTTTGGGTTTGGTAAAAAATAAAACAAAAATTAATAGAAAAAATATTTGGATTTTTAATGGGTTTAAGTTTAAAAATTAAAATAAGTAGATGAGATGTATTAATAAAATGTTTTGATTGGTGATTATTTTTGCTGAGGTGTCATGTTTATAAAACTTAAAAAAACTGAGTTGTCAAGTCATTGAGAGACTTTAGTGTTATTGTTGTGTT